AGTTCGCTGACGTCATTGCCACCGCAGCTTCTCCCGCTCCTGTCGTCTCTTTTTATGACGGTAAATTTGAAAGTTATGCTCAATTTGAATTTCAATTCACTCAAATCAATCTTGTCCAAGTAGTGGTTTTAACCTAGAGCTAGTTCAAGGACTGTTGCTGTCAATGCTTTCTAGTAATTTCTTTCATCTAGACGCTTGTTGCATTGCATGAAAACGTGATTGAGAAAATGTGGTTGTATATGATTTTTTTTTAACAATAATGATTAATTAAGATGAATATATATCCACTTGAGGTTGATACAGTAAACAAATGACTTTTTCCTATTTTCAGCATGAATTGACCACTTCAGAGTCAACTGTTGTTTGACCCGATAGAAAGTTAAAGATTTGGCCATATATTATTTTTTGGAAGATTTTATTACTATTTTGTTTAAAATCAAGCATTTGCCTATTATATTGCTGTATTCCATCAAAATACTCAGCACACAATCAATATTTTCTTAATAATTAATGGAAGAAATATATTGTTGAGTTAATACGTTTAATCAATTATTATAAAATTTTTGTTATGTCTATTATAGGTTTATGTTGAAAATTTTCAGCATATATCATATACCCATTAATGATTGTTCAATTATCTAGACTCACCCTCACGGACTCACGGTGTAGGTTATACACTCTAGACGTAATACGTTATGACACAATTCTCAATCATAATATTTGAATTTATTATCTTATAAAATATTTGTTAATAGATGATTCTCACAATTTAGAATAACTACGTTATGACACGATTTCTCAATCATAATATTGGAATGTATAATCTTATACAATATATATTAACTAGTGATTTTAAAATTTTGGTTCGGAGTAACTACGTTATGACACGATTTCTCAATCATAATACTAGAATGTATTTTCTCATACAATATATATTAACCTGTAATTCTAAAAATTCGGAGTAATTCTGAATCAATGCTTATTGACCATTGACTTAATACATCATAGAATTCATTATTGAAAATATTTTATCGTTGGATAAATTTTGTTTATCTTAATTCAAGGAACTTGACATATTGCCGAGGTTCTCTCCTTGATCTTGTCTTTTAGTGATTGATTCAAATTTTTATAAACATTGTAATATATTTTGTATAAACCTAAGCTGAAATATAATTATGCATGCCTCGCTATTGCTAATGATTAAAATGATAAAAATTTCCTTCCTGGAATACCTAAACAATAAGTTATTAGAAAATAGCTGATTAGTAGAATCATGTATATTAGTGTTTGAATAAAACACAAAAGCTTTGTCCCCCGGGAAAATGGTGGTTAGTGATTTAGAAATCTATATGTTCTGATAGAGAACCTCCATAGAGTAATGGTTAGATTCTCGTCGCTCGGCAAGATAAACCTACAGTAGATACTGCTGATCAAGGGCACAAGCATAAAGCACACTTATGCTTTACATCTCCTCGGCAGTACTACTTCATATTCTGATTTAGTTTAGTGACTGACTACTATTGTATGATGCTTTGGAGAGGCTGGAGATCAAGGTTGTCAACACGCCGGTTGGTTTGTTTCGATTCTGACTTAAAGAACAACGAAAATAGTAGACTACTAGATGGATGGTAAGATCCATACAGGAATCGTAGAAATCAACGAAGGTCTTGCGTGAACCGAGCTAATCGAGTACAGTGGCCGAATCGTCCGAGTGGCGAGGTTATAAACACCCATGTCCGAACCTCCATACTTGTGCCTAACATGGTCGTCATACATATCATCCGTGTAGTAAACCGAATTCGGAATCAATCCCAATTCAGGATGATCCGTGGTGGAGACGCAGGCAGCAGTGTTGATACCCAGAAAGACGGCGAAATCATCGATACTCTCCACCTCGACCCACGCCATCGTATCCTCGTTCAGCTTGTAAACTCTGAATTCAACGGTCAGCGACTGGCATTCGGCACGATTTACATCTGCACGTACCGCTGCAGCAGTGTCCCCGCCATCACCATCATCATCGTCGTCGCGATCCATAATGTATGCATCGGCTCCATCCAGGGACACGGCCTTACTTACGTGGCCATGATTGCGAGCTCGATTGCGCAGGAATTCATCATCGTCGTCGTCATCTTCTAGCTCAATTACATTCCTCGCCACCCTCATCAACGCACCTCCATCTGGACTCTTAACCAAGTAGGACTTGCAACCAATTTCCGGACAGGGATGGACTACAAACTTGGACAGCTTCGGCGGGGCAGCAGCAGAAATGCTGCAGACAGAAATCCTCCCAACTTCGTCCATCACATAAAACTGTCCCCTCCAGAACACCACATCCGTGAAATAACCAAAACCATCACCACCATCGCGAGGAATCTCGGTCCACACTGCCGATGCTTCTTCATCATCGCGGCGCCTCACCATTGGCCTGCAAAACGCCAGGGTGGGATACTCTGGAGAATGTATGACCATCACAACACAGTCCTCCTCCGATGTCGTCGGCTCGGATGAAAGGGCAACCTTCATTATGTACCTTCGCTCCATAGCCATCTTGCCACAAGCAATCTTCTCCCCGCGCATCACGAATCTGTACTCGTACCCGACCTTCTCGGGCCGAAACCCCTCCACGTGGGGGAAACTCGTGATCGGAGGCAGCCAGATCCGATCCCCTGTGAGAGGGTTCAGCAGCAGCAACGATGGCCCCCTCTGCAACATGAACAGCCAGCCGAAGCTCGAACCGCGGCAGCAAGTGGGCGTTCTCCTGCTGTTTACGAAACCTTCCGGCATCTCCACCTCGATGTGGTGGAACCGCTGCTCCGTCACATCGAAGAAGCACCTGCAGCTATCGGTACCCTTGCATCCCGCCATGGCTTCCGAGCTGCGGATCATGTTGCTGTTGCGGCAATAGGGAAGCATCAGCCATGGGACCGATTGGGTAAACCTGGGCCGCCGCCGCGGATGGTTCTGCTTCTCCTCTACCGTAATAGCTCGCCTCCAAGGCTTGCAAACCGCTTGGAATCGGATGAAATCCTTCAATTTGATTAGAAATCGACGAGCGATGATACCCAGAATCTCGCCCGGCAAAGCCGACCAATCGGGTTCGGGGATGTCGTCGTCGCTCATGTTCGGGATGGAGCTCTCTCGGAGATAATTTCTGTGATAAAATTGTGTCACTCATGTATCCTATTTATGTTTACAACCGCTTCCTAGTCCGTTCATCGGCAGGAATTCCGAATCCAAAATGAAATAGGACGGCCGGAGGCGGCTGCAGGGGAAAAGAAAAGAGAGAAGGACTTACAGATGATGAGATGACAAGAGGAAGAGAGGCTTATCGGTTGGTTGATGCATGCAGAGGCATAAAAGGTTCCGTTTTTGTTAACGGACTCTGTTTTTGTCTTTCGGGATTCAGAGAGCAGAGTGCAGACTAGATCTAAGAAAGACGAAAGATTGAGTGTAGGGTTAGATTTCAGATTACTCACGGCTCATTCGGTCGGTTCACTGCGGGTCCAACCGGCTGTGACGGGTACTCAGTAATTCAGTTAACCGATCCTTTCGGCTTTTACCGCCCATAATAATATTGGTTTAGGCACAACTATCTTTGGGCCAATGCTGGAGTCCAAAAATAATTCGGCCCACCGAGTCTTGGTGTTAATAGGTAACTAAATTATGGGTAGAGCAGAAAAAAAAAACTTAATTTGATAAGTAAAATTCAATAATTTGATTCAACGAAAAAAAAAAACTAAATTAGGGGATTCCAAGGTTGTCAACCCGCGGGTTGATCCGGACCCGGTCGAGCTAGTGGGTCAAGGGTTAATGGGTCAACCGTTTTAGCCCGGTTTGGCCCGGAAATATAGAAAGAGTCATTATATTGTACTTATCCTCATAAATTATATCAAATCTTATCTAACATATGAGTTATAACATATAATATTACACCAAAATAACATATCGTACTTAGATCCAACATATAGTGAAAATTCACACACACTTATATAACATAAATATTCAAATGTTCAACTTAGTATTCCAAAGATTGAGTTAGGCGAAAAGAAAAATTGAAAAATAGGCTCATTTCGCAAACTAAAGAAAAAAATGACACAATTTGACCTCCAACCCGGTACCTAATAGCGGTCGGCCCGGCGGGTGCGTGCGGCCCGTTTTTCTCACCGGGTCAGGGTCAAATTGGGTCAACCCGTGGGTCAACCCGCGGGTTGACAACCTTGGGGGATTCCCACATTCTACAAGTACAATCCGAGTATACAGGGGAACGGACATCAGCATGACATCAACATCTCTCTATCCTTGAAAGCTTTTAATGTTTCCCTCCTTAATCTTTGACGGACGATTCCTCACTCGTTTTACGTCGAAATTTAATTTCTTTTGCACAGTTAGATCAGATTAATTGAGCTCTTCAAAATGATATCCACTTTGATATATTTTTTCGAACAAAAAAAAATTGATCCATTTTTTACCAGTCTATACCATATGGTATTGACTGGTATTGAAGTAAGAGCATACCTATGGTTTGAAAAGCATACCATGGTGGTATGAACAAACCAAGACTGTAGGATGGTTGAATACATGATAGTAGATAGTAGAAGTATATTAACTGTCATTTACGACTTTTAGCATTGTGTACCACAAGATACCACCCCGTACCAGGGTGGTATTATATGGTATTGTGTGGTATTTTTTGATCTTGTAATTGGTTCACCCAGAAATTTGTAGATCCAATAGATCATGATGAACTCATCCCTTCTGTGCAAACGTTTTCAAAAACGAATTAAAAACGAAGAAAATACCATATGGTATGCAGTTGGTACCGAGAGGCCAGAATTTTTTTTTCTTAAAAAATATTGAAAATTGATCTCATTTTGTAGAGCACGATTAACTCGTTCTATCTGTGCAAAAAAAAATTAAAATCCGAGTTAAAACGAAAAGAATATGCGCCGATTAAGAAAGCTAGGAAAAATAAAAATGGTCTTTAATTCTACATCCTTAAATCTGAATTTTCTAAATGAATGGTTCAAATTTGGTTATTGATGGGTGCATAACCATGTCTTGAGCCAGTATTCAGCATGTCGACTAAACTTCAACAAGAAAGGAAAAAAAGGAACCATATAGAAAGAATAGTTTCATCCGTTCAAACACTTCATCACCTAAGACGTTACCAAATTCTGGTTATGCGATCCTGATAAGTGATCACCAATTCACCATTATCTTCCCCGAATCAGTATAACAAGCCTACCCTTAAACTCTGCCTCCCTATTTCTCATTTTCCCCTTACTTTCCTTCTCTGTGTCTTCCTAACTCTTCCCAGGAGTACAACCTCTTGCTCGATAGACACAGGCCTTGCCACATCATTATGCGGACACAACTTGCGATGACTCGAAATCAGCAATCCCAATAACCCGGGGAGTCTGGTGAATCGGAAAGTTTACCTTCCGATGAAGCCAAGCCAGTGAAGGAGAATTGCCAATAGCAACATGAATATAGCCAGGATCAGGCCCGGTTTGCCAAGTAACAAGTTCTTCGCCTTCTTTGCACCTGCAGCTCCTCTTTGGAGCCTATCCATCCATCTCATCTGTTGTAACAATTTCCATCAGGAACCCCATTTTCATTGGGTACCAGAAACTAAACCGAGAAAATTTGTTGAACGGAGCATAAGTAAGAGAAAAACACACCATTTTGTCCAAGTCTTCAGGGGATAGAGATGACATGGCTTGCTGAGCTTTTGCTGCATCTTCTGGAGAAAGTTGGACTCCAAACTGCTTACTCATGTTAGCAATCATATCCGGACTCATGTTTTGCATCATTGAAGTGAACATCTGGTGGTTTAGCAAATAGTACACTTTAGGATTCAATAAACCGAGAAAAGAAAAGTCCAGGACTTTGTACATAACTAGCAACGTGGAGTTCTTTTGGTCAACAAATATGCGGTTTGCTCACAGCAGTTTCCTAGGGGAAGCTGGAGATTTCCTTTACATACAAACCAACTTCTTTTTTTCCTCTAGGGGTGTGGTAGTTCATCATCATGTTGGAAATTACAAGAGCCAAACGCGATAAACCGAAAGGGGATCAGAAATGCATACCTGCCGTGTCGCTGGATCATTCATTTGATTTCTCAACTGCTCTTGCAGGTCACCACCCGAGCTTGAAAAACTTGGCTGATCACTCATTGACCTCGAAAAGAGACTGCCAGAGGAACTAGGGTCACCACTATTTTTGTCATTCAAAGAACTACTTTCTCGAGCTTCTGTAAAGTTTGAAACTTTGTTTGAACTAGAAGCATGTTGACCCGAGGTTCCTCCTTTTGCAGCGGAGTCCTTTCCTCTAAGAGAGGATGCCATTTCAACCATCTTTTGAAGCTCTTCTGGTGGCATGTTGCTCATCATTTCAGAAGCGATTTTAATCATGTCCGGGCTCACGTTTGGAGGAACGGCACCAGGTCTGATACTATCAACACCATTACTGTATGGATTCCCCCCCTGGAAAGAAGATGTCATCTGAAGCATTTTTTGCAGCTCATCGGGAGACATCTTTCCAATCATATTTGCAGCAGTCTTGAACATATCTGGAGAGATATCAGCAGCTTTCCCACCACTTATTGAAGCTAAAGTTTCAGGATCAGCATTAGAGATGAAATTCTGGAAAGACCTGCAGAAGGGGAGAAAATGCAATTAATTATTTGGCCAATAGACAAGAGTGCCTGAAGTCCAAGAGAGGCTTAGACAGAAATGGATCATCACCACATCATGCAATAAGCTCTATCGCAAGAATTGGTTTTCCATCAAAATTAGATTGATCTGTAGACAATCACAGTATTCCATGCCCCCAACTACAGAACAGGGTTTTGTTCTCAAGTTATTTCACATTTTCACTTCCATCCCTCAATTCAAACAGCTCATTTCTCTCAGCTGTTTAACAAAGGCAAGGAGATATTCCGCGCTTCTCAGGAAAACAGAAAAAAGTAAAACTAATAGATATCTTTGGAAAGAGAAAACAAAAGTTAACCTGTGCACAGGAAATGTATACTAGGGAAATAACATTGCACGTACAGTAGTTCTTAAGGACCATAGAACAAACCTTACGGCTTCCGGGTTATCTTTTAAGGCATGCAAAGACTCTGAACTGGTCATTGAACCCCCAATATTAGTCTGGCTTCCAGTGCTTTCCACATTCCTCCTATACTGTTGAGGAATTTCAGGATTTCCAGAAGATGAATCTTCAGTTATCTCTTCAATTACAACTCCTGATCCAACACACAGATTACTGTTACTTAAAACCTTTGAAATCAAGCACAGTAAGAGAAAAAGGAACATAGGCTGGATAGAAACAGAGACAAGGAGACAAAGAATAACGTACCCTTTGGTGCCTGGTAACTACCCTGTTCAGTGAAACTTTCTTCAGCATTACTGTACAGAAATTTGCAGGAATTAGCCAAAGACAGAGCACAATGAACCTGGTTGTTCAATAAAATTTGAACAGCCAAGGAGGAAAAACCAGATTGACAAGACAAAGCCTATCTTCAGTAATGACAGGTTTGGATGCCAAACAAGTATATGCAATGAAGAGGTCCAGGTCAATATAGAGCACTCATCAATTACATATTACTTATTAGCTTAAGAGAGCCCCAAGGCACCAATACCTTAAGACAGCTGCGATAGTCTCATCATCAGGTGAAAGTTCATGTGCTTTAGCCAAATCAGAGACGGCATCCTAAAGACACGTATCGTTTGACACGCTAGTTTAGAATACGTTAAACAAAATCAAATCCTCAGAGAAACTCAATAATAAGCTGGAATTTTTTCTTACTACAGACTTACTCGCAATTGTCCAAGTTCTTTGTAGGCTTGACCCCTACGATAAAGAGCCTTGACATTCTTACCATCATATGCCAACACCTAAAATAGACATACAAAAGATGGTTCTGATAAAAAAGAATTGCAAATGAGAAAATCATGGCGATACGGTATAGAGTAAAGAAACAAATTCAGTTCTTCCTGGCTATCAGGAAAACAAAAGAAGAAACTTGTTCTCGTAAAAACCAGTAAGGAATAAACCAAACAAGACCGTCTTCTAATATTCCCTACTCTCACAGATCAACTGCTCACTACCCGAACATGTCCATACCTCTGTTCCTTCTTTAATGCACTCATCATATTGTTTTGTCTTTAGGTAACAGGACATCAGATTGAGAGAGCATGCCAATAAAAGTGCACTGCCTTTGGAGGCTGTGTTTCCTTTAAGATTCTTCTTTGCCTAAGATACCAACAAAGGAAATAGGAGGCCCGTCAACCTCTTAGGGAAACAATTCATAATCTTTAACAAAATCTATTATTGCAGCAGCGGGAACAGTGACAAAGAAAACAGAAAGGAGGGGGGACACTAACTAGCAAATATTTTTCTGATGCCTCGCTGAATTTTCCCTGGCTGTGAAGTTGATTACCCTGCCAAAATTCCAGTGACAATTGTAAAACTATTAAGTAAACGCACTCATTAGTTTGTACCTATCCAAGTGAGTGTTGGCTATCTAAAAAAAGAAACTTAGACAAATAATTGGAGATAAAAGGTAAATAAGATCGAAGGGAAACGAATGATCCATCTTTAAGGGGGCCTCTCACCTGTTTCTTCAACATTTCAGCCGCATTCATTTCGTATGTAGCCTGGGAATCAAGCCGAGCACGCATAGCTGCTATCTCTTCTGGCGATGCAGTAGCCATCTTCTCACCAATCTCAGCCATCTCATCAGGACGTGTATACTTTAATTGCTCTGCCGCTTGCCTCAAGTCTTCAGGTCTCATGTTCTTCATGCTTTCAGATGCCATTTTCATCAAATCTGGATTAGAAAACATCTGCAAAACAAAAAGCAAGTGAACCCCAAGGCATACTGATAAAAGCAGCACACAAACTTGTAACCAATAAGCTCGATTACACTATAGCAAGTACACATGCAAGTCATGAACCATAAATCCCATCGATATTGAATACCCAAGATCACAGGTAATAGCCCCAATAGCAACACAATTCACCTCATGCTTGGGTTGATAGAGTAACAGTAATATCAATCAAAATGTTGCCCAAATCTGAAAGGCAGTAAAAGTTGGGGACCAGCAAGAACGTTCATTCATTATCCGAAACATTCTGCGAAACCGAAATTCACCCATTCGCCATCACAGAGAAAGGAACAGAATTGAAAATCCAGCTCGGTGATCAGACGCCAAAATCTACCAATTCGCTGCTATAGTAAAGAGGGGAAGACAGCGAACCTGCTGCTGGATCTTGGCTAACTCGCCAGGCGACATCCGACTCATCTGCTCCTGAGCAAGCTTGATGAGCTCAGGATCCATCATTCCGTTGAACATTCTCCTCTTTCCCCCCGCCAAAACGATGACAATTCAACCTCAGGAAACTCGATTCAAACCGAGGATCGCCGCAAATAAATAAAAGACGATCCCAACTCCCAAGTAGAAAGAGAGCGAATTACGAATTCAGACAAGATTGAGAGAAGCACCGCTCGCACACTAAGAAAAACAATTTCGAATTCCGTGGACTCTTTCCTTTTCCTCTCCCTCCCAGAAAACGAAGTCCGAGCGAGAAACAGAAAAATGTCGAATAGGAAAAAGATGTGAGAAGGGATTCTGGTCAGATTCTTATCCAATCGATTTTCCGACGCCGGCGTCTCTATGTCGCCAAAAAAGACCTGAGATTGACAATTCAATCGGGACAGCGATTGATTGCCCGGCGGTGGGTGGTGGAGAAGAGCTTTGTTAGGAAAGGAGAAGGAGCGAGCCGGGAACTTGGAAGGTCGAACAACCGTAGCTTCTGGAATTTGAATTTTACTCTTTTCACCCTGTTTGAACTTCCAGTTAGTGGAGAGCTGACGTGGCATGCACAAGGTGATTTTACTTTACTGGGAATCAAGGTTGTCAAACCGGTTTATGCCAGTGTGCCGGTTTAGCAAGTGGAATGGTTCGACCGGTGGCACATACCGGTTTGTGCCGGTTCATGCCGGTCAATATTACAAATAAAATTATAAATATTCATAGTTAAACATGACATTTAACGTCAATACCTAAACATTTATACTTGAATCCAACAAATAACATCAATATTTAATTTTTATACTCATAAAATAAATAACAAAATAATTTTATCAATTAAATTCACTAAAATAAGATCATTTTACTTAGAAATTTGTATATCGATCATGCCGGTCATACCGGTAGTGCCACGCCGGTTTTATGACCGGCACCGGTTGAACCAGGTAGAACCGGTGGCACGCCGGCCAGCATGACAACCATGCTGGGAATGAAACTGACTTGTCGTTTTGTTGTCAAAGCTAGACCAACAGTTGGTTAGGTTGAACCGATGGTCAGTTCGAATAGTTGATAGAGCAGAGCCAACCCGACGGTTAATTAGATCTTCACATATCTTGAAATGTCATATTACGACCTAAACGGTGTCGTTTATGGTCAGACCCTTGCCAGTTGCCAATCCGCCGCTGGCGAACACTAATTCCCTAGCTAGTTAGACGGAACTCGGAAGGAAGACTCCGTCGCCTCGAACCTCCACACCTCTTTGCTTTTCTCCCCCGCAGCAAAAATGGCGTCGAGGGTCGCAATTCTGAGAAGCATCGTCGGCAACACCGGGTGCAGCACTTCAGGATCTAAGCGTTGGGTACACAATGTCGCCGCCGCCATCATGACTCCGTCGTTGAGCAATTGCCTCCACCATCCGTCTCTTCCTCCGCCTCTGCTGTTTCCGTGGTCTTTTCCGAACCCGGGGAGGGATGGCGAGTGGAGAAACGACGTGGGAATTGGTGGCGATTTGGGAGGATTAGGGTTCCCGGGTTTCCCTGGCGGCGAAGCCATGGAGCTAGCTGTTCCTAAGAGAAAGGTGAGAACTTTCTCTCCGTTTTTTGCTTCTTTTCTCACTGTTGATCCTTACCCTTCATTCGGCAGAGAATCGAACTTTGCACTGCGTATATGTGAACAGAAAGATTTGATTTTTTTAATGTGTGAGATTGAAGATTTGGGATGGTGGAGTTATCTGTTGTCTTGTGGATCTGATTAGGGTTTAGGGTTTGGGGTCTATGTCAAATTCTTGCTCAGTTTTAGGGTTTAGAACTTTGCAAATGTCTAGTTAGGATGACTGCATTTCTGTCCTGCATTACTATCTGATTATGTTATTGATCATCATGTTCTCTGTACCAATCAATGCAGGTTACTCCACATAAGAGAGGGATAAGAAATGGGCCAAAGGCTTTGAAGCCAACACCTGTGATTATTCGCTGTCGGTAAGGGATTACACATCTCTCTCATGCTTAATGATAGTGGGATTACTACTCCAGTCTTACCTTATAATGATTGCTGGAAGTTCCAAGTTTCATCAGCTAGTTTGAGTTACGCATTTGGAGTTGAAGCTGGGCACGATGTGTGGAGAAAGTCAGATTATTGATCACCATTGTGAAAATTTTGAATCTTTATGAAATGTTTGAGCTTCTTATTTATTGAACTTCAATTTCCTGAGTGCGGAACATAGATATGCACTTTGAGTTGTTCTGTTGGCTGCTGTAATTGAAATTCGGTGTAGAATGTCATGAAAAACTTCTGCTTCGTGTTTCCCTCTATTGTACTGAGAGTTGCCATGAAATTGAATGCCACGATCTTTGAAAATAGAGTTCAAACCAAAATGACATTCTTTTCTTCTTCGAAAAACTGTTTTGCTGTTTGAAATGAGTGTCTTGGCCCTCATGAGGGTGAAATATTTCCTCTTCATCACATAAAACAATGCTTAAACTTTTCTCCTGTCTGATAACATATGCATTTGTGTCCTGTTCGTGCAGGGTTTGTGGCCGTGTTAAGCTGCCACACTTCTACTGTTGCAGTGGACGCAAGGAGACCGTGAACGAGAAAAATGGCTAAAGGCGTAATACAATGAACCGAGTTCTCTATGTGAAGCAGCTTAAGGGATTGAAGATCTCAGAGCTAAAGCGAAATTCTTGTAGGCCTTTCCCCCCTTGTTATCATTAGAGCTTCTGCAGAGATATCTTTACTTGCTGGTGGTTGTGCTTCATTTGTTTTGTTCTGTTTCCTAGAAATGCCCAAACTTCCTATCAATAAGTTTCATCACCCCCCTTTTCATGTTCAGAAGATCATTATCTGTTGTGGCGACACCAGCTTGCTTAGACTTGTAGCAACTGAAGTGGTTTAAAAGATTTTAGTGTTGGGCTGAGATTTGATGCCTCGTTTACACAACTGAATTCTGTGTCAAAATCCAATGGCTTTATGTAGCTTAAAGTTACTTCAGTTCTGTTTAGAGGCTCTCTCACTCAATGTAGATGACATTAAGGCAAGCCTTTCAGTTATAGTTACAGTTTAAAGTCTCGCTCAATGTGGATGCCATTACTGGTCTCAGATAGCTGTGCGAGGAAATAAGGAAAGCTCCATATGCTGACCTTTGACCATTTAAAGGAAAATGATCCAGCCTTTTCGAAATGATCCCGAATTTGCATCCAATGTTAACAGAGGGATGAAGCATGAACACAATCTGAATGATGGTGATTTTCGTCACTATAGAAGATTTTGAATTTGGACCATATGTCCAATTGATCAAAGGAGCATGTAAGGTATTTAGCCTTAAGCCAGAGTCGGAAGAATGAACACCCTAACTATGAAGTCTTTTCCATAATTAGATTGAGATACATGATGACAGATTGATCCAAGTTTAAACAGAGCAACAATGTCAAGATTTGACTAACGAAAGGAAACAAGTTTATTTGGGAAAACGAAGCTGCCAAACAACAAACACCGAAGGCAAACTCCACAATTCAACTGGAATTCTCAGCAATGAACCTCTTGATCACTCCCATCAGCTTCTTAGCAGGTTCGGCTTCAGGGTCAATGGTGAAGAACCCATGTTGCTGGCCTTCGAACTCGACGTATTCGATCTTCTTCCCCATCTCAGTAAGCTTCTCTGCATAAACTTTTGCACGATCTTTCAGAAGATCACTTCCCCCAACCACTACCAGGACCGGATCAAGAGCCACCGGTTCCAGATCCTTGCTGCTCGGCCCAAATGGGTTTATCAATGGGTGATCAGTTGTGTCTCCAACAGGAACTGACAGTCTCCAGAACCTTATTAACACAACACAATTCGCAGTCAATTTAACATACCAAGAAAACAGAGTACTTGAACTTTCAGAAAGAAAACAGAGTCTCTCGCTTTCAGTTACCAAACCTGTCAATGAGCTCCAAATTCAGAAACGCATCCACAGGCCCATTAGCTTCCGACTCGCACAAAACCGTCCCGCCGAAAAACGGCGCCAGAAGCACATAACCCTTCACCACGACCGGACCCAATTCAACCGACCCGGCTCCGACCCTAACCGCCAAATTGTGAGCAATGTTCCCGCCGGCAGAGTCACCGGAAATGAACACGTTCCCAAAATCCGCCACATCAGTCAGCCACGTGTCCGGCTCTTCCGCCAGAGCCTGTCCCTGAAGCCACTTCAGAGCCGTGTACCCGTCCTCAATCGCCGCCGGGAGACGGTCCTCCGGCGCCAGCCGGTAGTCGGGGGCGATCACCACCGCCTGGAGCTCGGTGGCGAGCTTGAAGCAGTAGTTCTGGCAGTTGGGCCAGGTCCGGGAGCCGATGCAGAAGCCGCCGCCGTGGATGTAGTAGAAGATTGGGAGCTTTGTGGTGGCGGCGGTGGTGGGGAGTGAAGTGGGTTTGTAGAGGCGGAGTTGGAGGTTGTTTGTAGGGTCAAAGACTGAATCTTTCCACTCGACGGCGGCGTTTGGGGTGATTGGGACGTTGAAACTGGGCTGGGAAGAGCGCCAGATTGTGCCGTCTTTGTATACTCGGAGGACTCCCCTGCAATCTTCGAAATCGGTGGGAGTGGTTTCTGACATTTTTGGGTTTTGTGTGAGAGAGGATGGTTGGAATTATAGGAGGAAGTTGGCAGGGGATTTTGATGTGTAAAAGAGGAAGTTTAGATACTTCTTTTATGGCAAGGGAGTTAGTCTACGGATTTGGGTCCGATATTCAGTATTTTTATACGATCAATCAGTGTGACTGTGTTTTTTAAATAATGGTTTATTATCGTAATTTTATGTTCATTTACACGAAATTGGTGTTATTGCAATTGTGATGGTTATTACTTAAAAGGTAATGGTTATTCATGCAATCTAATATTTATTCACACATGTTATTTAAGTTTGAAAAAATATCAAAATGAATGTTATTGTGTATATCAGTGTTCAAGAAGACGCTAGGCGAGGAGGCACCGCCCAGCGCCCAGGCCGATTAGTCGTTGCATAGGCGAGATTAAACGTTGAAAAAAAAAATGATAAATAAGCCACATTTCACAAAAACCCAAGTCGCGTTATCATTATTCATCCATTCATATAAAATTACAACCCTTTTCCACAATCCCAAACATCCCAAGTCCCCAACCATGGGGAGGGATCTCGCTGCTCGAATGATGAGGGGGAGCGGCTGGTCGAATGGAAATTGGAATGGGAAATAGAATAGGGTTTGGGATTTCCACAAAAAGGCTACACTTTCCCCCTTTATTAGTTGTTTTGGGCGTCACCCACTAGACTGAAAACGCGCCTCCGAGCGCCTAGGCACCGATAAGGTGTTTTCCATGGAGATTAATTGTTTATCACGCCTAGATCAATCGCCCAGGGCTAGACGAGGTGATTTCCTCCTGCCTAGCTATTAATCGCGCCTAGGCGAGAGATTAATCGCGTCTTCTTAAACACTGGTGTATATTATGATCAATGCAACTCATTTCTTAAACAAAAATTGAAAATCAAAATTTAACTCTATAAAATATAACCAATAAAAATTATTGGAGGGAAAAAAATTATAATTCCATTTACGTGAATAACCACCATTCTTACATGAATAATCAGTAAAGAATCTCTACCATGTGTGAATTAAATGTTAGAACTCCTATAAAGACAAGGAACCTTTTTCTACTTATCGAATCAAGACAGAGGAATGCCAAAGTAGTTGGGTTTTCGTTAGAAAGTTCAGAAAATATGGAGAACTACCCAACAAAGGAATGCATGATGGTTTGGTTTCTTTCACCTTCATTTGGTTAATTGCTTCAGGTAATGATGAAGACAAAACAAAAGAGCTGGTGGCAAAGGTTCTTGTCTTGTCTGCGTGACAAACTTATAATGATAGTGGATTAGGTCCCTCCCTGTTATTAATCCCACTTAGCCGGCCTCTAATGCTTACAAAATGGTGATGACTTCTTTTTGTAGTGTTGTAGGGGTCGTTTGTTGCACAATAGAATCACGGGCTTAAAAGTTGAAGGAACTTAAACAGATTTCAAAACCCATAATATTGTTTGTTTGTCAAGGATGACAAGTGGCCTTTCTATTTAAAAATTGGAAAGTGAATGTGTAAAATTCGAATAATACGGAATATAATTAGAAACGCGAACATAATGCGCGAGATTTACATGATTAACCTTATAATTAGGGATTACTTCATGAGATACATATTACTCTTCGTTCGCTGTTATTCAAGCTTTACCGGTGCTCTCGCTCTTGCTTGTGTTTTGCGTTTGTTTTGTATCTTATAGCCGACGAACACTTACAACCAGTATTCTAGGGTTCTCGGATAATTACAAGCTAATTGTGAATGATTACATAGACGCCCTACCAACTCTTACGAATGTACCAATGAAAGACACTAATGTAACTAAGTAAATAACATGATGGGTTGCTACGAAGTTGGATCATCAATGTTTTGATATTTGTTAATATTCGTTTTGATTCCCAAATTTGAACCAGAAACTCGCGCATTTCTTGTCGAGTTATCTTTAAGCCTGATGATTTGTAAAGACTACAACCACGGTTTATTTTAACCCGAGATCATATAGTTGGTAGTTTATAAAGTCAACTATCAGTTGGAGTATATACCCTTACCCTTTTAGCAATTAATGTATTAGGTTTTGCCTAGCATTAGTGGCCGGACGGTTCATATGTAATTAACTATGTATTAGTTCCAAAATGGATATCAAACACAATTAGCAAATGTGATCAAAGGATCAAAATACAAACACAATTGCAAAATGCACAACCTGATCAAGAGAACAAAACAACAAGAAAAAAAATAACATGCACGTAGGATTAATGCGAACATGATCACTGGAAAACAGATAACAAACTTAATTAGGTTGAATTCTCGTCGACGAATTTGCTAATCAAATTCATCACCGACTCTGCTGCTTCCGAGTCTGGATTAATGCTGAAGAACCCATGTGGCTGTCCTTCAAATTCAGCATATTCAACCGACTTTACCAAATTCTTCAACTTCTCGACGTAGTCTCTGATACGATCGACGAGAATATCACTCCCGCCGGAGACCACAAGAATCGGATCCATCTCCGCCGCTTCCACGGCTTTGCTCCTCGCTCCAAATGGGTTCACCAGAGGATGGTCACACGTGTCTCCCTCCGGAATCGAGCATTTCCATAACCTATAATACATCCATGGAATCGTACCATATCAAAAATAGTTATAGTAAAAATATGAAACTAGATTATACCGGAAACGTTGTTGGTAGGGTATTATGAATTAAAATCGTGATTTAATCATGGTTCGACCGTTTCTTATCGTCAAAATCGTCTATGATTTGGATTCGGTATCGGATATATCCAGTCCAACGGACTAGTATGGTTAAGGCCTGTTTACTTTCATTTCTGTTTCCAGTTTTTTTTGTTTGAGAAAACGGAATGAAAAGTAAACAAATTTTTCTCGTTTCGGTTGCCAAATTTATGACATGAAAACAGATAACAGGAAACGAAAATGGAAGTGAACAAGACCTTAGGGTTTCTTAAACATTGTGAATGTATATGACGTTTTAACTACTTAACCTAACGCGATCCATGCATACGGTAAGAAAGTGGCTACATATCATACACGAACCTCCCAACAAATCGAGTTATTGAAACTAGCTAGTAATTGGTTTATGATGAACATGGTATCGAAACTGGTTTGTTTTTTAGGTCACGCGTTCAAGACCTCACGACCCCAATATTAACCGTTGTCTTTAAAGCTTATGATATGGCGGATCTAAGCAAATTTTAAATCCATTAGTTGACTTTCGTTCGAGAATGTGTATAAGAAAGTGATTAAGTAATATATATGAACCTCTTACAACAATTCGAATTATTGATACAAGCAAATATTAAATCTATTAGTTGACTTTCATTTGAGAATGTATTTAAGAAAGTGGTCAGTTATTATATATAAACCTCTTTCAACAATTCGAATTATCGACACCCGCACGGTTACGAGAACTTAATTAAAAAAGGAAAAAAACTTACCAGTCAACGAGTTCAAGGTTGAGCATAACATCTTTGGGAGCCTCGGCTTCCGATCTGGTCCTCACCGTCCCTCCAAAAAACGGCGCCAACAGCACATATCCCTTCACCTCCACCGGCGCGAGCTCCGGCGACCCGGATCCAAGCCTCACCGCCAAATTATGAGCAATGTTCCCTCCCGCCGATTCCCCACAAACAAACACATTCCCAAAATCCGCCACGTCACCCAACCACCCATCTCCCTCATCTCCACGTCCCTCGGCTTGATCCTGGAGCCACTTCAGAGCCGCGTAGCCGTCCTCGACCGCGGCGGGGAGCCGGCTCTCGGGAGCCAGCCGGTAGTCGGGCGAGACCACCACGGCTTGGAGCCGCGACGCGAGCCGGCAGCAGCAGTTGTGGCTGATGGGGTCGGCTCGGGAGCCGATGCAGAAGCCGCCGCCGTGGAAGTTGTAGATGACGGGGAGCTTGTTTGAATTGTTGTTGTTGTTGTTGGGGGAAGTGGGTTTGTAGAGGCGGAGGGAAAGGTTGTTTTGAGGGTCAAAGGTGTAGTCTTTCCACTGGACGGAGCCGCCGTCGATGACCGGGACGTCGAAAAGGCTGCTCGGAGAGGCGCGCCGGACCGAGCCGTCTTCGTAAACTGTGAAGAGTCCGAGGCTGTCTTCGAATGCAACGGCGGCGTCAGACATTGTCACTGAAGATGAAAAGGATTAAGAGAATTAGGACAATAATGTGGGAGAAATTAATGCCACTCGATCGTGATTTGTGATCCATAATCAATCATCGGTCTTATTATATATATATACACAGATATGGACTTAGGTCTATAGGTAGTTTCCGGCACGGCCGGCGTTTGAAGTTGTTGACCGGTCTTTTTTGCCGGCGAGCTATATATATTTATTTGCTTGCTTGAAAATTGGAACAACTAAGTTGATTATTTGAGGCCGCCCTCCTTTATATACCATGAATTTAATTTACTATGAGTCTATGACGCTAAAAAAACACCTATCATTTCCATATTTTATATTAACCAGCATTTGCTAAAATTATCGTAGTATATCTCGTTATAAAATATTTTTTTTTCTGAAATTTCTTATAAATGACAGCATAGGTATATCCGGCTTTCATATTTGACCGGCACATAGAAATATGAGATATACTCCAGCGACTAACAATTTTGATGAGATTTTTAAAGAAAATAATAAGACCGAATAAAGCACATCATGCATAGCCGTGTTTTGGTTGTTAAAGCAATATAAAACTTTTTTTTTTTTTGGAACGAAAAGCAATATAAAACTAGAAGTAACAGAAATGATGTTTAAGTTTCTTCATTACTAACTAGCACCGGGCCTGCCCGCTGGGTGGGTAATCTACGCACAATCGTATTATTTGATAAAAATTGAAATATAAATCCAATTGATAATAGTTCATTGTTTTGATAACTTTTGTAATAAAATCGTGTTTGTATAAAAGTTTAGCCTAAAAAATGTGTTATTAATACCTATGAAAGTTTTATCTAAAAATTGTTGTAAGGAAGTGTTTATGAGAGAAGCTGAAATTAAACTATCCATGCGGATTGAGCAACTTAATATTTATTATGAAGATGAATTAAAAGAATTGATTTGTAATTTTACAAATAATAATAATAATATTATGTGAGACGAAC